CAGGAATGTGTAGAGCCAAAATTTGCTTAAGGCTTGCAACTGGGTGAAAGTTGGTCATCTGCAAAGGCTAAAGGAGGAAGCATGCCCTGCTTTCAGAATAGGGTTCCTGGTCTCCTGCACATGCATAGAAGTGAATAAAATAACTAGAAGTCAGAAGCGGGATGTGAACTGACTTCCTCAAAGAGTCTCAGTTAACTTGGTTTTTCCTTTCTTCCTTCCCTCGCAAAGTGTTGGGACCATAACACCATGCCACCCATCATATCTCCCATGATCAGACAGCTCTGTCTGAGAAGCTGAGTGTTAGCGTTACCAGGTCATGTGGAAAAGCTGCTTATGGAAGTATTCATGTAAAGAAAAAATTGGCCGATACTGCAGGTTCACCAGGGTTCTAGCTATAGGATGAGAACCAGGCAGTTCATCTTCATGCGGAGAGATTTTTGTCAAAACTGGCTAAATGGCGGAAAGAAAAGTGGAGAATGTTAGTGTTAGCTGTGTGTCCGGGCTATCGCAACTGCTGGGCTTCAAACCAGAAAGGTTTGAGCAGAGGTCCTACTGAGCCTGGATCAGGCCCTATAGTTATGAAAGAATTGGAGTTTGTTTTTCTGAACTGCTTCAGATGTAAACCATTGCTTCTTGTGTTGAAATAAAAAAGATAGATTCCTCAATTGAAACCTGTGCAGAGACTAAGGGTGTTTCATCCCCAAAGATGGGTAATACTGATGAGGGCATGGATCAGAACAGTTCCATTTAGGGGCTGAGGGCATAGGCAAGTGTCTGTGTCCTGTTCACCCCAGCTTGCATCTTCCTCTCATGGAGAAGTCACAGTTCAGGAGACCAGGCTTTGCTTTGAATGCTTGTCTTTAGTCTTCTCAGATGGATCAAGTTAGGGAGAAACCTCCTGCTTTGGCCCATCTTCAATCCATCAGGAAATGCAACAGAAGAAAACAGAGGTGTTTGGGGAACTGTATTAAGCAAGGGTGACATGGTATTGTAGGGTGGGGTGCCAGGGGCTTCGACAAAAGGAAACATATTGCAGGAGAGCTCCCTGGCTGCTGCTGATCTGTTTGATGGGAGCTGAAGTCAGAATCAGCAGCACAGGATCTTGAACCTTCAAACTTATGGTTATGGAAGCAGCTGGCCCCTTGCATGGCTCTCTGAGGAGCTTCAAGAGGTGGAGAGCTATAAGTGGAAGGCAAGACGCAAGGCATAGCTCAGATGTAGCTCTGAAAGGAAGAGTATGTAATTGCATTCTGAGAAGGATAAACACCCCCTCTAGGCTTTCTATTTTCATATCAACCATGGCGATTAAAACAAAATAAATCTTCAGTGTTTTGGTTTTCTAATTCAATACAAGCATTTGTAAATCTGGGGACCCAGTTCTGTGTAGGTCCAGCTTGGCACAGTCCTAGGAGGTGCTGAGTCCACTTGGTGCTGTGGATTTCTTTTGAAATTGAAAAACTCCTAAATATGTTCTGGTCCCAAATGAGGACTTGCGGATTTGACTGGAATTGCTGGTAATCGTACAATCTAGAATGGAGTTTTAAATCCATCTGATGTATGATTCTACATGCAATAACTTGGCACGAAGAGAACCTGTCTTTCCTCTGCTTATGATTTCCATGTGCTTCTGCCATATAATAAAACTCTAGATCTCCATAATTTGTATCAACTGTTCAGAGCAGATGCTGTGCTATTATTCTGTCTAACATACTTGCTATCCCTGCTGGGTTACTGCCTTTTCCGAGACCTTTGAATTAGCCAGATTTTTGGGGTCATCAAGATTATTTAATGTTATTGTCATAAATATTTGTACAGGACTTGGTCAGTGCTTATATAAGAACTGACAGACAGTAATTTGTTTTAAGAGGATGTGTGTTTTAATGAACTGCCAGCTGAATGTTAGAAATAAACTGTAAAAAAGTGCCTTTCTTTTGCAGGACTATTGCAGTTTGTGGGGTGGGGAAAAAAAAAAGACTATTTAAATTGTCAGTTACTTAGATTTGTCAGCTACAGCTGTTTAAATTTAAAATCACTTGAGAGTTCTTTAAAAAGAGGACTGTTTACTTCTAAATAGCTGTTTTGGCTTATCATCCTGTCCTCAAAAGATGAGAAGCTGATGTCTTGCATCCTATTAATCATTTTCTGTTAAACCATGTTATCCTTTGAATTGTTTGTATGCCAAAAATGAGAAGTTGTTATTGTGTTATATTTCACAGTTGGTTCTTGTATAAAATTCCATTTTTTTTTTTTCTTATTTCCAAAGTACTGTGCTCTCAAATACAAACAATAAACTCAAAATACTAGCAATATGAATCTGTTGTTTGGAAATGATGAAGGTTATACATCATCCAATCTGCTGAAATGTGTTAGAAATGAATAAATATTTGGTTTGCCTCTAGCTCTTTTTAGAAGCACTGAAATTAGTATTTTTTTATTGAAGGAATTTTTGCCAGGTTTCTCAATGAGGGACAATACTACAAATAAGCCAAAATATGGAGGCTGCCAGGGGGTGCTGTGTGCATTCTGGCAAACTTGGGTTGTTTCTTCTAAATATCTTAATTAGCAGAGCATAGTCTCCAAGCTGTTCTTGGAGAGCTGCTGCCATGTCAGACCACAAGCAACGAGCCCCCAAATCCTGTGGTTTAAGGTCATAAAAGAGTCTTCAGTGCTGTGATGTTGCACAGAGTGTGTGTATGATTCTTCATGCTGATACAACGCTACAAGAATGTGCCAAGTCGGACAAACTCCCCTTCGCCGTGTCATCTGCTGATGTGCAAGAGTGTCACGCTGTTGGGCGGTTCGCAGCTGGAGCCAAGGTTTAGTGCACTCTCGGGAAGAGCGACGTGTAACCTCTTGTAGGAGCACGAATTGATGTGTCATTAGGTCTCCATTCAAACTGTCTCTTAGTGTCCAAATCCAGATTTTTACAGGCTCCCGGATAAATCTGATCTCTGTTCCTGTGTTGGCCAGATGAGTCTCTAAACCTTTACTTTATGATGTCTAAGTTTGGTAATCTTACTGCCAGGGTGCTGCTACAGCTCTGCTGTCTGTGTGAAGCACTGCTCAACAGGAGTCCTAGAAACCATCCCCAACGTTCACGTGCTTTGAGACCTTGGTATGTACAGCGCAGGGGAAGGATTAACTATGTGATATATTTTCCCTTTCAGAAAAAGAGCAGAGAGGAGACATGCGGGGAAGGCAGCGGAGTAGAGATCCTGGAGAACAGGCCATACATGGATGGACCAGGAGGCAATGGGCAGTATACTCACAAAGTGTACCACATTGGTATGCACATACCCAGCTGGTTTCGGTCAATATTGCCTAAGGCAGCTCTGCGAGTCGAAGAGGAATCGTGGAATGCATATCCTTATACAAGGACAAGGTAAAACGTCTCCAAATGTCCAGAGCTGTTTCCCCTACTTTAGAGACAGGATTTGATGTCGCTCTGTGTGGCAGTGGCATCTCTTCCATATCCTGTAATATCCTTTAGAGAAACTGGGGTCAAGTCCTAAAATTCTTACACAGTGCTTAATCTCAGGAGTGCAAGTGTTGCCTGAGCTGACTGCGTATGTACTTGAGAATTTGTGGCTGGTTGCTCTAAAATGTGAGCTGTTTTGTTCATCAAAGCGTGGGAAATCTTGAATGGTTTTTATTTAGTCTTGCATCCTGCACTGCATGTTCTACTTGATGTTGCAGATATCTGCTAGCTCAGTGAAGTTACAAATTTACACAGCAATGGGACACTGTCAAGTAAGACAGGATTCACTTGTTCTAGCGGGGGGAAGAAATCTTAAATCTGGTGCTCTTTTTCTGGGAATTATCTTACTGTCATTTAGCTAGAAAATAATAGATCTACATCCTATGGTTTTCACCCCGAGAAGGGAAGAGCACCAGAGACTCTGAGGAGCCCTTTGGGATCTCATTTTGGCTGATTTTGGATGGAAGGGCTTCAGATACCGTGGAATAAATAGCCTGTATGCCAGTTACTCTGGTTTAGAGCGTTTGCCCTTTTCCAGGTTTACAAGTCACATAATGCTGTTATCTTTCAAAATAAAAAGGCTTTAATGAATATTTTGATTTTTATCAAAAATCCAGAAAAGTTTCATAGTTCTGTTTTGGCTGCCCCCTGCAAGTAACATTAGTCTGGGGAGAGGTGGGGAAGTCAGTGTCTGCATCCGGGCAGTTGCTCGTGACTAAATATAATGGAGCTGTTGCAGGTGATTAAAGTCCACTTCCAGTCTCTTTTTATCTATTCTCTTCAAATGCCTGTGAGTCAATAAGTTGGCCAGGAAACCTGGCCCTGTGCAGAATCGGTCCATATTTTATTCTGCCACAGATTCTAGGCAAGAGCTCTGCTTTTCTCCTGGTAGAGATGCATTTCCAGGGCATCCTTGTGTTAGTATCTGCTTCATACCTGCAAGGATGACTTAACTTGTTAGTATAGCAGACCTGAAAGTTATCTCCTTGCTGAAAATTGCTCCTTTAAAAACAGTCTGTCCTGATAATCTTCTCCTGGAGGAGACATTGTCAAATTAAATTGCAGGGTTTTGTCAGTGTCTCTGCAAAGTGACACAACTTGGTGGTCCCCTCGGGCTTTCTGCTTGCTTGTTGCCAGCTGGGAAGTTGTTTCTTGGTCAGTGGGGGTGCCCAATCTCCAGTAATGGCGTGGAGTGCATTGGTATCTTCTCACCTGTAATCCATGTAACACCTCATGGGGAGCACACCCCTTTGCTGTGCGCTTGGGGTTTTACTAAACCAGAGCTATTCCAGTGAAGCCACATGTCCGAGGCAAGCTCCTGTCTTAAGAAGTTATTAAAGAAAATCTCTTTACTCTGTACAGTTGGTATTTTAAGCATATCTGAAGTAAAGCATGAGTGAAGGCTGGCTTGGATTTGAGGCTGATTTTGTACATCTTAGGAAAGTATTTTCTCTGCTTTCCAAGCTGAGTGGGATTTACTCTAAGCTGCATTGTTCTCATTTTCAGGTATACATGCCCTTTTGTGGAGAAGTTCTCTATTGATATTGAGACATACTACAAAACTGATCCAGGCGAGCATGTCAATGTGTTCAACCTTTCTGCTGCAGAAAAAAGACAAACCGTTCTAGGTGAATGGCCTTTTTCTTTTACTTTTTCCTTTATTCTGCTTTTTTTTTCTATGTAAAGGATTTTGCTTGGTATGTCCCACCTGCCTGTCCCTCCTCCCCCTAAACACACGTTCACCCCTGTTGGTGTCAGGCTGCAGGATAGGGTTACATCCAGTAGAGCGAGGACACTTGAGTTCTCTTCTAGGCTTGACGTAAATCACATGGAAATAATTTGAATCCCCTGTCTGTAAAATGAAGCTGATGCTTTTCCCTGTCTTATTTGTGCAGCTCCTGAGGGGAGTAAGACATCTAATGATTTTGGGGGTAATAAGTAGAAATAGCCATAGAAGAGGAAAATATTGCTGTATAATTGTGTAGCTCTTTCACATAAATGAAAATCATTCCTATCTGCATTTCTGAAATATGAAGGTGTGTTTCGTTTTTGCTTCCAATCCTCTTAGTCTTGCTCTTGTGCAGGTTAACGCTTCAGCTTCGCAGCTGTCTTTGGGAGATTGGGTTAATGAATCTTATATATGTAAGAATTTAATGAGAAAAGGCAAAAGGGAACGTCTTAAAAAGGCAGAGAATGGCAAGTGTCATAGCGATTCCTCTGCCTTGCTGTCCATCGTGGTCCATGCCATGGCATTTGCCGGAGACCTGACTGCGTGGCAGGGAGTGCCGGCAGTTACAGCCATGCAGGACTGAAGCATCCCTTGCTCTGTAGCTGCTGAGTGGAGAAGTGTTGAGCTTGGGCTGACTTCTGGCAGTCCCATGCTGCGCGACGCGCGGCCGGAGCTCCGGGGAAGGACATCTAGTGGCTGCTCCAGCTCCTTGAGCGCTGCTGACGTGCGGGACATGGCAGTAACCCTGTGCAATTTTACTTGAGTGTGACTTCATCTAGACTTCTTCGTTTTGAACTTGAGTTTGCCTGTCCTCATTCCTAAGCCTACCTGATTGGGCTTTCAGTACTGAGCAAATTGACTTGAGTCATGCTGCCTCACTGAGAAGTGTCAGAAGAGCTGTTGTTTCTTGGGAAGTGCGATCTTGCCCTTCAATCCAAACTTCAGATGCTGCTGCTGAGGTCTGGGGTGGGGGTTGCAGATCTTTAAAATATGCTCATTCACTCCTCTCCCATTGCAGTTTCCACTTCCTCATTGTTGAGGTGTTAATTAGGACAATTTGAACTTACGTTAAACTTTCTGCCTTGTGTAGAACTGGCGTAACGGTAGCATGTGAGAAGTTACCGTAACCTCACTTGATGGACTCCAAAGATAAGACGTTCAGTGGGTAGCATCTTTTCCATAACAGTGCTAAGAAAGGGCAGGTGTATTTAACAGTCTCAGACGAGACAGAGCTGTAGCACTCTGAGTGATATTAGAAAAGTTGAAAGATGGAATGTGCAAAAGATCTTTTTGGAGCTAGAAAGATAGAGTGAGCAGATCTGCCAGAGTGCTATGGATCTGCAGTCACTGTGGGCAAAAACATCTATTTGGAGCAAAGCCTCTGTTTGCTGGAACTGTGCGTACTAGTTCCTCTGGCAGAGCTGATCGCTGCTCAGCAGCAATGTATAAACAATTTAAATATCAGTTGTTTAAGTGTAAGTAAAAAGAAACTAAATTGCTGTAATGCTTCTGGTACTTACTAAAACAGAAATAACCCCTGAACAATGGTATTCTCTTCTTTTGTTCAGGAAAAGGAAATGTCTAACTGCTTCTATTCTCTTTCTATAGATCCTATTGATATTGTTAAAGATCCTATCCCTCCACATGAATACAAAGCTGAGGAGGATCCAAAGCTGTATAAATCAGTGAAGACTAAAAGAGGCCCCCTCTCAGAAGACTGGATTCAAGAGTACAAGAACAACCCCGGGAAATGCCCCATCATGTGTGCATATAAACTGTGTAAAGTCGAGTTCAGATACTGGGGGATGCAGTCAAAAATCGAGCGGTTTATCCATGATGTTGGTGAGCATTTATAGTCTTGCAAAGTTCACTGTCAACTCCTTAATGTTGTTTCTGAATTGAAACACAAAGGTGAGGTATGTGCAATGTATCATATCCCAAGACATGTCTGTGAATTGATTCTCAGATCTGATTACTCTTTTTGTAGAGCTGTGGATCAGTTCAGAAAAAGTCATGGTATTCTGTCACTTGTAATTGTGGTATGTGTGAATCCAAACCACATGTAGCCACTGAAAGGCTTTCAAGTCCTGTGTAGGCAAGTACTTGCTTTCTCTTTTTTTTTTTCTTTTTTTTTTAGATAAGGATCTGTCTGTTAACTTTTCCAGATCATTCTCAGTGTCTGCCAGTTTTCTTTATTGTGAACAAAACCCTCAAGGGCTACTCAAAGAAATGAGCTTCACTTGTGAGTCCTAAGTGGTTCCAGAAAACCACTCCCTGGCTTCTACCTGCTTTGTGGCAGGGCTGGTGGGTCTCTGTGTGGTCATATATCTCTGTCTTCCGGGCTGCGGTGTTCAGGGCTCCCCACCTTGCTGTGCTATGACCCACCATGGGTCACTGACAGCTCTTAGTTATGAGTAAATGTGCTGCTGTGATGCAGCATTCTTAGGTCAATGCTTTTAAGGAGGTATTGTTTGTGTCCCAGAAGTAACCAAGTGGAGACAGTCCAGGTGGTAGCAGTGCTGGCAGTAATTTGTTCTTTGCAGAAAATCTATAACACAACTGATACAATTTCTGAGCCTTGCCACAAGAGACAGGGTCTATGGCCAGGTGGAAAACTTAAAGAATGTTTTAAAAAAGCATTCCCATTTCAAAAAAAAGTACAGAGCTATGGCTGTCCTCTGGCAAAGAAAAGGCCAAAGAAAGGCTGTGTAAAGGATGCTACCTGCTTTCTGTACACAGTAAATCCTCATACACAGTAAATCCTCCTACAACACCTCTACAGCTGTCCTTTCTATATGCAAAGCTTCTTTGAAGTGCCTGATGCTAGCATAAGTAATTTTACAGCTTTTTTCAGTCGTACTGTGCTCCTGAGAGCTAGTGTGGAAACACTGATAGAGCAGTGGAGAACAGTGTACGCTGCTCTCTGAATAGTCACAGGCTGCTTTCTTAAAGCTCCTTTGGTTTTACTTTACCCCAGAGGGAAGTTTTTACCTGTTATAGGCTGTATTACAAGTGGCTCTCTGCAATGAACTCCCTTGGCATTTCAGTGGCATGGGTTAATTTAGTGTATACTGCAAAACATGGGGGCAGAATGACAACTCCATTGTATCTGTTAAATGAAAAAGAAGCATGTGACTCTTCCAGTTGTTCAGAGGTGTTTGGCATAGATTAAACTGTGGTCCCTTAGAAATGTTTCTTTTGTATTTCATGAAAGATTGCCTGCCTTTTTCCTCTTGATTGAGGCTTTGCAGAGAGCCGAGCCAGCTCATTGTCTGCCTTTCAAAAGCCTTTCCACTGTGTTATAATGATGGCAAATACTGTTTTTCAAAGTGGTTAAGATGCATAAAATCAGAAAAGTCTTTAAGGCGACACAAAGTTGAGTGAGTGAAAAGTGAAAGCAAAAGCTTTGGGTGTCTACAGAAGATGTGTAGCCTTCCCCTGCAATGGGATAGCCATGGGGAAGCCATTAGTGAGTGGGAAAAGTGCCATAGCACGTGTACGAAAGACAGCAAGGTACGAGGATGTTTAAGTTGGAAAGGTTGGGCTACAGCATGACTGACCAGGCTTACATGCTGATCCCAGTTTTGAGGTTTCAACTGGTGACCAAAAGCAGATGGAGACCTTTGTGCATTGTGCAGCTGATGGTGGACCAAGCTTTCAAGTGTCAGAGATGTTCTTGTGGTCCAGCCTCTCCTTGACATTTTTCTCCTGGTTTCTCTGTTCCCAGCTCCTGCAAATTTGTTTCTTGGGGTGTTAGCGTGCTCTGTGCGGGAGTTAGCGCACTCTGTGCAGGGTCACCTAGCCAGCAAGAAAACAAAGGCAGAAGCCAAGAGCGGGATCCAAACTCTGCCCAAGGAGGGGAGCAGTACTTAGTGGTGCAAACTAAAATTAGAGAATGGGCTGAAAGAAGAACACATCTGAGTTTAGTGATGGATGGATTGTGATATGTAGAAAGGCTACTGAGCGCAGAGGGAGTAGCTCTGGGGGATGGTGTTGAAATGTTCTCAGTCTTACTGAGTGCAACAGCCATTTTTTCTGATGACTAATTGGCCAGTTACTCAGTGCTTTGACAGCCTGAGACACAGACTAAAATTGTGGGCTATTAGTCTACTTGGCTGTAATATTTGTATGCTTTTTTACTCCTTTCCCATAGAATTTAAGTTTAATTGGACTGGCACTGCATAATGTTCTGCTCCCACTTGCTTCCTAATGGTGCATGTGGGCTACAATTCTTTTGTTGTTAAACAAGTGTGTTGACTGTGTATGGGCTATTGATTATAGACTACGGCAAAGTGTGTTCCCATCCCAGTAACCGGAGCTTTGTCTAAGCCACTGTGTCTTAGGCTAAATATACCCAAATTGTTGCACAGTGATGAAGTGGAAGTGGTTTTAGAAAGCTCTTTTGCAGAACTTTTGCTTCACTAAAGCACTCAAATGAGAAAGTTCATCCAGAAGGGCACTGCCCGTTGGGGCCTACAGGTAGAGTTTTGTCTTTTCAAGGGTAGGCAGGTTGCAGTTAGCGTGATGTGGATGTGACCGCAGGCTTTTCTTTGTGAGTGGCCTGAGCAAGGGAGGGTAGGGAAGCAAGCAGATATAACTGCAGGTTGCCTTTGATCGGATACATTCAGACAACCAGAACTGTACTGAGAAGGTTATGGGATTTGTTGTGACTATCAAGGAAATAGTGTCGCACAGGGAAAATCAGGCATCCTTTATCTGCTGCCAGGAAATTATGAGAGTGCACATTATAAAATGCTTTAGGATGTTGCCACTGGGTACATAGTTGATGGGTATCTGAACAGTTGCTTTATATGGATAGTTGAGGGGGTTTGGGGCAGGATTTGATGGTGGGTTTTTTGATTTGTTTTGGGTTTTTGTACTGAGGTTTTGTTACATTTGCTACTTCTACTTCATGTTGAAAAACAAACCCAGAACTATAGACAAAAGCTTTTTTAATTCAGTTAGAGTCCTCTCTGTCCTGGCTTGTCTCATGGTCATTTACACTTCCTTTTGTAAGATTAAGTTCAACACCATAATCTGCACGCAAATCATTTACAAGAGTCAGCACCTCATGGATTCGACCAGTCTCTGAGTTGTTGAGGTGGTGAGTTGAAAAGCAAGTGATTTAAATGTTTGCACCCTGCTAGACTCTTCACAGATGATCTTTCTGCACAACACAGCAGGAAATGTTATAATTAAATCAACGCAACGATGATGGGTACTTCTGAACTCAATCTGCATGTGTTCATTTGTGCATGTGTGGCTTCCTTGGGTTTTTTTTTAAACCAAAGCATTGTGTGCTTTAGAGAAATAATAGTCTTGTTAACTACTGATATTATGGAAATCAGCTGGTACCTGCACCTTTATAAAAAAACTGTTCCCATTATTTCTGATTGACTTCAGTGTGTGACTTGCCTGCTGAGACTCTGGAGTTATCCTCCAGTTCTGGGAAAGAAGGCTCAGATGAGAGTGGTACACGCTGGGTGGAGGGGGGAAACCTGCTCTAAAATCCTCCCTGATTCTCCTGTACCACTTGGTTCTCTCTTCACACCAAAGACACCTCTTTGAGACCATCCCCGACCCTGCAGTTCTTCCAGACTGCTGAGTTTATTTGCTCTGTGGTGGCAGGGGGGATGGAGGACCATTGCATTGCCCAGAGCCTCACCTCTGCAGGTCTTGTTGCATTCTGTCTGACCTGGAATAAGGTGACCGGTGGGATGCTGTACCCAACCTGTCCTCCCCAGCCAGCTCCCACTACCCAGGGCACCATGCCACAGGCTTGCAAGGCAAAATGCCAAATGGGCTGCAGCCGTCCGTGAGGCATGGCTTGAAAGCACGGTGTGTGGGAGTGAGTGCAAGACAGGGACTTCTCAGGCCGACCAGGAGATGTTTGCACCTCCCCTCCTGACAGAGAGAAAAATAAAAGTGACCTGGACCACAGATGCCTTCAGCACTGTCCCGATGGGTATTTCTGATCTGTTAAAAAGAGAATTTTTACCAATTACACTCCATTTCCTGGGTCTGATCTGTCCCTTCCTTTTCACTTTTCAAATAAAAGGTTTGTTTTTCTCTAACATTTTGATAAAAAACCACTTTAAGACTTGATTTTTTTCCATTGCACAGGGAGGGAAGTAGTGTCTGGACAGGTGAGGTCAGTCATTTGTGGATCTTGAATCCATATAGCTGCGTGGGGGCACTTGGTGTGCCCTCTGGGTCTCTGCTGCCTACTGGAAGGCTTCAGCACTGCAAGCTGAAGATCAATTCAGTGATGTACTCACTGCTGTGCACTGAGGGAATGCTCAAGTTTTCCATCCCTAGCAGTGAAGATTTTTTTTCTGCAAGCCATGACTTTTATTTTTCAACTTCTTTTGTACCCAGACAACCTCATTCTCTTCCAGGTTTTCTCCCTGTGTTTCAGGAAGAGAAACGCAGCCTCGCTGACACATCCCAGGTGAAGGCCAGAGGCTAGGAAAAGAATCTTAGTCTTTTTGGCTTTCTAACTAATCTGGAGTGATAGAGGCACAACAGCCGTGAAGCCCTGTAATGCCATCCTATTGTCAAAAGAACAAGGCTTTAAGGGAGGGTGACTTGGGATGTCTAATCAAAGTGATGTGAGCAGTGCAGATGGGGAGGTCTGTGGGTTGGGAGGAAGCAATACAGGCCATTTTTGTGATCTAAGAGATGAAGTGAAAGAAGGCAGAGGGGAACTTCAGGAGAATTTTTTTTTCCCCCCAAGTGGTTTTCATGTTCCCTATGATGTTAGTCCATTAAAACAAAGATATGTGGTCAGTGGCATCTGTGCCTTTACACAGAGAATTTCTGAGGAGTTTCTGCATTGATACCTCAAGGCTGGGTCCAGGAGCGTGAGCAGAGGCTGCTGAGCCCTGGAACGGAGGAAGCCTTGAGATGAGAGCAAGGGGGCCATTTGCTTCTGTGTCTGATCACAGTCTGTTTTCAAGGTGTTTCAAGCAAGGTAGAAGTGGGCATTGAGGATGTGGAAGTCCAAAGGATGGTTGTGGTGTTGGAGACTGAATTACAGCAAGTGAAACGTTTTCTTGGCTTTCAGTGTGGATGTGGTGGGAGTTTAATCTTCGTCCAGGCTCTGCTGATTGTCAGTCATACCGGGAGGTGAAGAGGTTAAAACATTCTCCTGTAGTTCTGCAAAAAATAATCTGGTGGGGGAAGTAACTGAATCTCAACTAAGGTTGAAAAGAATTAAATTGCCAAGGCCCCTTGGTCTGCCCCCAGAAGGTCACAGTCTGCTGGCTCAAACTTGCCTCTCCTACATGGAGCTCCCTTCTGAAAGTCAGGCAGAGAAATACATAAAATATTGATAGATTTAATCTTACTGTGCCAATGAAGTTTAGGTTGAGCTGGTCCGTTGCATTAGCTGCTGATTTCAATTGCAATTTCCTTCTGATAGGTTGACTTGTGATGGCTGGTGGCATTAAGAACTAACCGAAGAGCAGAGCAGACAGTAAAGTGCCCAGACCTGGAAGGAAATAAGCATATAAGCTTTTTGTATGTCTAAAAAACCAAAAAAAAAGTGATTGCTGAAAACAAAGGGGATATTTAGGCTGAACATCATAGAAACTGGGACAGTAGTGAGATCTAAGATTTTTTTTTTTTTTTTTTTTTTGTACAACAGTAAAGCAAATGTTGCTGGAAACACCTTGGAAACGTTGCGTGCAGTGGGACCATCCAGCTTTGGCTGTGCTCCTGGAAATGCTGAGTTGCTTATGAGGGCTGTCTTTCCTCTTGGTGATGCTTAGAGAGCTTGAGCTGCAGCTCCCAAAACCTAAATGATTTTAATGTAGCCTGTTGATTGCTCTCTAGCTTATAAAAGCAGTGGTGGTGGTGTGGCCTGTGGTCTTCAGCCAGGATCTTCATTAGAGTGAGAGGTCAGCTACCCTGCCTGACAGCTTTTTGGCACAGTATGTTTCTGCTCCAGGCGTAGCAATGGAGGGTTGTGGATCCATCATCCCACTGACAATAAATGCCACTGCTGCTTTTGGCATGTCCTTCAACCCATCCCTGCCTCAGTTTCCCAGTGATAAAGGGGGGACAATATTCGTTGATTTTTTTTTTTATTATTGTTATTATTTTTCTTCCCCTTTTCAGAAGGGCTTCTGAGGATTACTTTGTCAGTATTTATAGAAGCTGTTAAAAGCACCATTACTGCTGTGTGCTCCCATCAGTAATAAATAGCAGTTCAGAGCTTTGACCTGTCGTGAGCTTTTAAGCAATAATATTGGTTGAAAATCCTGAGTGACTCTACTGTTTTAAAAGTCTTGATGGTATGATGATGTTAGCCAAAAAGTTTAAGTCTCAGGGGAAAGTTTCTGTTGCCTGGTCAGGAGCATTGTGTGTTGATATTGAGACAGTTCTTCCTTTCAGATATGTGATACGTTGAAATATTTTAAATTGGCTTTACCCACTTCATTTTGCTCATGCAGCAGAAGACAGATGGTATCTGCAAAATACAGCATCTTTATTCCCTCCCTTACTTTGCTTCCCATTCCATTATCTCAGAAGCTCATATCTGTGATGCTGTTTCGCTGATATATAGAAACCAGGTGCGGAAACCGGGTTTCCAAGGAAAGGAGAGGTTTTAGTCTTAGCGCTGCTGATGTGGGATGTGCTTCCGTCATTTAACAATTGTGGTGGGCTATGTAGTGTTCATCAAGGAACCACTTGAAACTCTCCTGGTTAAAAAAAAAAAATCATCAGTGGTTTTTGTTGTTGATGTTGGCTTTTTTCTTTTTTTTTTTTCTGTTTTCTTTTTTTTTTTTTCTCCTTCTGGGAACATACTTCACTTTGAAGGCCAGATCCAAATGTTACAACTTCCCAGAACTTCATGGGAGTTGCAATTGTGGTCTGTGCATGGCTCCTCCTTGGTGGAGCAGGCAGTCACAGAACAAAGTCCTCCATCCAGAATAAGGAAATCCCTTGCCAAATTAAAAGCAGCCACAGAAGACTGGTTGATTTTTTAGTGCATGGTTGGGTAGCCAGAATTGAGGAGATAAAGTACATGAAGTGACCAATCTGCCATCCTGATGCTTGCTATATGAAGGTCCTTTACTGCAGCTTTTATATCATTGTGTCTTTGATGCCACTGTAATATCCTTGCCACAGTGTCTTGAGGTTTTGGGGAACAGAATGCCTCGATTCCTACAGCTTGTAGCACTGGTGACGGGCATTTTGGCTTTGCAGGCTTGCGGAAGGTCATGGTCCGTGCCCATCGGCAAGCTTGGTGCTGGCAGGATGAATGGTATGGGCTCACCATTGAGGATATCCGGCAGCTGGAGAAGGAGGCACAGTTGATGCTGGCTCAGAAGATGGCCCAGTTCTGCAGTGAAAATGATACGGAGCAGCACGGTGTCAAAGACACTCCTGGTGAGAAGGATGTTGAAGCCAACACAGTTTCACCTGTTGACACAGAGGATGCCACTGGTGACAGTGAAACAGCCTCTGGGAGATCGCTCACCAAGCAGTGGTCCACCTCTTCCAAGTCCTCACGATCTTCAAAGAGAGGAGGTAAGATGCTGCTGATGACTGCTCTTCTGAACTGCAGGGAGGTTGGGCTTTTGGGAGGTAGGAGCATGTCTCCTTGTGGTTGGCACCTTTGGGACAATGTGTATTTCTCCTGTAAGTCAGAGGTCTTCTCTGCTGGTGTTGGAGGCTCAGTCTTCTCAGGTGACCTGGTATGGGTTTGGGAATGTTTCTAGTCATTCCATAACTGTGACTCAGTGGCACATGGCAGAATTCTTGCCATCTCAAAAGCAGAGAAACTATGAAAAAATGGTAGAAGAGCAGCAGCAGCTGGCTAGCAGTGTTGGGTCTCAGAAGATGACAAACAGCGGCACAGAGAGTTAGTCCTCGTTACCCAAGAGCCACTGGTGGCTTTTATAAGGCCTGGTCCTTCAGCAGTGTTCCCTTTCTGGATGTCTGCTCGTCTGCTGTGTCACAGAACCGGCCCGGCTGTGGGTTGCTGTTAACCGCCTCTCGTTTTCCGGGAGGCAGCTACAGCAGGCACCCCGTGCTCCTTGGCCGGGCTTATACGCTGCTACATGCCATCCATTCCAAAAGCGGGCGTTTGGCTCCGTGGGTGCTGCAGTGTAGCTCACACAGCAAAGCACCCTCATTAGCTACCGGGGAGACTAAGGCAGGTACCCCCAAAAAAGTGGATGGGGGCTGCTGCCTTGCACTGGTGATGATGTGTGGTAGCTGGTCGGAGACCAAACCTCATGGCCTGAGATTAGGTGGGACCATGGATTGCGTTTATATTCCCTTTTAAATACCATTCAGGAAGCTTTCAGGATTTTGCTGTTAAAGCCCCCCATATGGATGCCCTGTAAGGACTCAGCTTTGAGCCCTGAATTTTGTCATTCACCTTTCCCTAGGCAGTCACCTTTTTTTGCTGTACTAAACTCTTCCTTGGACCATTCGGTACAAAGGGGTGAATCCCCAGCGAGTTACAGACAGAAGGCTTGAACCCTCAGCAGTTCCCTCTCCTTTTAGTCAAGCACAGCTGATAGCAGGGTAATAGCTCTTAACAGCAAGAGGGCAAAAAAAAAAATCTTGATTTTTTTTTTTTGGAAAACCCCAAGGGGCAGCATTTCTTCCAGTAATGGTGGAAGGGGACATCTAGGTGAGTGAAGCTTCTCCATCTCTCATATGCACTAAATATTGCAAGTTGAGTCTCCATTTTTATTTACCATTTCATCACGGGGTGAATGAGAGATGAGCAGTAGTTTTACCTTGCGATGACTCACTGGAGTGAGCCCCAGGGAACAGCATACCAGATGCTTCGTAAATCATTGTATAAAGATAAAAATGCTGGCTACTTTGCTTGCACCAGGATTTTATATCGATGTACCCGTCTCTCATTCTGCTCTTTGTTATGAACCCCTTCTTCCACTGCTGACATGTTTATTGGAAGCTGTAGTTTTTGGATCTCTTAGGATTTCACTTGAAGGTTTTCACTGGTAGCAAAGCATGAATTTCTTTTAAACTGCAGAATGTCTCAGCTCTTACAAGAAAAAGTAATGAAAGAAATGAATTGTGATGTGCTGGGAAGTACGTCATGCAGATATTTTAATCCTTCTTCACGCTGGCAGCATATTAACATATGGAAGCAAGGAGGGCTGTCTCAACTTACCGCTACCTCCAGCTGAAAAAAGCAACGCCTTTTCTCCAAAAGATCTCAGTCCTTTCTATACCATCCAAGCGAGACCTCTGGTGACAGCAGGACCCTTGTCGCCATCCCATATGTTATTATATGCTCTATTTTTAGCAACTATTATGCGAGTGCCTTGACGTCACTCCAGCGTGAATTAGCTCTGCTCTGCCAACCTCCTCGCTCGCTGCTCCCTACGGGGTGGGCGGTGGGGTAGTTGGGGGCTGCTGAGCCAATGCTGAGCTGCAATTAGATGACTCCGCACAGGGTCTCCATCCTCTTTCCATGTGACAACCGGGTAACAAAATGAGAAGAATATGACTTACAGATTTAACACTGTTACAACAATAGCACGAACACGGCTTGTGCAGCTGTCACAGTAACCAGAACCTTTCGGCGTCTTTGTATATGCTAAATGAGAATTTGTCAGTCTCCTCAGGTTTTTGCAGCATTAGGTGGCTGCTGCAAGCACTTTGTGTGTGCTGTGTGCCGTGCAAGAACTATCTGAAAGAGGGGAGAACCCCCCTCTCTCGTCGTCCTCTGGACAGTGCTCCCTTCAGCAGGCAGCTGTTCTGTAACAAGTTCAGCCAAGAAGAGTTCAGGCTGGATCATTGCTAAACTATATCTGAGAAAGAAAAAAGAAGAAAAGCTGTAATACGTTTATATTTAGCACAGGGAACTCTGGAGGGGAAAACGAAAGGGTGCAGCTAGGTGCGAGAACAGGAGGGCAAACAGGAGCCAAAAGGACCGTTGGGTTTTCTCCTCGCTCCGTCAGGACAGCCGCTCTGACAGCTCCCTATGAAGCAGTTGGATAGCATGTTGTTTAAATCATTCAAGTTTAAAGTTTAAATAGATCTCTAATCCAATTTGTGTGGAAGCAATTTCCTTCCAGAAAACAGATTATTTCTATGCAGGCTGCTTTGCTTAGCTACCCACCCGAAAGTTAGCGAAGCAGAGGCATGGTTTGTGTGCTGATTAGAGGCACGAAGAAAGCTTCCAATCAGCCTGCTTCCTTCCTAATTGCAAACTTTAAAACCCAGCTGATTTTGCACGTCCTACTAACAATTATAAATAGCTGCCATTCAAAATAGCATAAGAGTGATACAAACAGCTTGCTTAAATGTAGCATCTTGCTGGCAGGTTCTAACAACAGTAAACAAACAGGATCTGTAGAGCGGTACACTGACATCACACCAGCATCATCAGGGTTTTGTGTTTTTAATATTGCAGCAGTGAATTTTCATAGAGAACACACGACTCTTCCTCCAGCAAAGATCATGTTGGGAACTCTCTGTCTTGTCGTGGTAGCGTATCGCATAAGGCTTTTTTGTTTTTTCCAGCAAGTCCCTCACGCCATAGTATCTCCGAGTGGAGGATGCAGAGCATTGCCAGAGATTCAGATGACAGCTCAGATGATGAATTCTTTGATGCGCATGGTACGTGGAGCCTAAATCACCATCATTTGTTTTCTGAAACGGTGGGGTAAGAGAACGGAAGGCATGAGGGTGGGGGGTGAGCGGGGAAGGAAGCGAGACTTTTTTTTGCTTTGTTTGAAGTCTTTTCGTTTCTAACCAAGATACATGCAGCATCAGTGCAGCTTCTTCAAGCATCCCCAGCATCACCCAGCAGACTCTCATATTTAACGCAGCAACGTTTCAGATTCAGTGTGATCTATTTGAAGGGAGCTTGAACAGTCTTAACCTTAGGAGTTGTATTTTGTCTGGTGCAAATGAGTGTGAGTAAAATTCAGCAATACTAACTGGACTGTGGGTGTGTCCTAATGATTCTGATTCAGTGTGACTGATTATTTTTCTAATTTGTTTTTTAATCAGTAGGAGGTATAAATAATTGTCCTGTCTGGGCCTGAAGAGACCCAAGTTTGCCCTTATTAACTCCTTATTCTCCCATTCCAAGACATACAATAGTGAATGCAACAGGGTACTTCAGGTGCCAAAATTAATCTGTGTTGATTTCAGAATTCTCAAAGTAATTTTGACTGTCAGTATTAGGAGAAGGCTGTGTTTATTTTTTTTCTCTGTTCATGTGTGTGTGAAGAAGCTTTGTTCCACTGCACTCATTTTATATATTGTACTTAATGCGTATTTAAGCCTGAAGGGCTCCGTCTCTACTGACAACAGATGGACTCTTCTCTCTGTTTGTAATGCTAATCTAAGTTAGATGCGCAACATGTGCTGATGAAGTTGGTGACCTTTCTGTGAAATGCAGTTGTTAGAAGATGACGCCCCAGTTTTGTAAAGCAGAATTTCACTGATGTTCAGCTAGATTTCGCTGATGTTCAGCTAAAGCTCAGTCTCCAAAAATTGATAGTATCATGTTTTAGAAGAGTTCTTGCATCAAGTATTTAGGCATGCATCTCAAATTCTGGGGTGGAAAGTGGCATGCTATTGTAGAGTAGTGACTTGCACAACAGCAGCTTCAATGGCCAGGATGCGTGCAAGTCAGGGGATGAATGTGTCTCTTGCCTGGAAGGAGAAGGGCCAGCTTAGTTTAATTGTCTCTATTTATTAACTTATGTAGCATGTACAAAAACTATGTAAGGGATTTATTGTAGCAATATACATGCAAGAAAAGAGGAGTGAGTCATCGAAACAGCATCATTGCTATCCACCCTCTTTTTTGCCTTTTTAATTACTCAGTAATAAAATTGAGATAGACGGCTCTGCCTGGGATCCAGGCCCCCAGGGAATCCCTGATGTGCTCCTAACAGGCCTGGAAGGAGAATTAAAAAAAACGAGCCTCGTGCCGCAGTTGATATCAGCACCTCTGTTGCAATACTTCTAGGAGCTTGCTAACAGAAAAAGCAGCTCCTCTTCTGCTAGCACACAGCGTGTCTCCACTTACGTACAGATTGTCCTCTGCAATCTGCACAGTTGGGTTTGAAAAGTCTGCCTAGCCTGATGGGATTTTGGCTAACGAGTTGAAGCCTTGATGTGTGTGCTGTTCAACACAGCCCTCTCTTCGGGAGGGACCTCTTGTGGCCCCTTGGCCTGCAGATGACATGTCCCGGCTCCAGGTCTGTGGGCAGGGATGAAGCACTGCTTGCAGCTCGTCCTGCCGGGGAGGCTTGCGGGGTGGGTACCATGGGAACTGGCACAGATCAGGATGTGAGTCAACACCGAGCAGAGTTCCTCAGAAGCGCTTCCCATATATACACACACATTTCCTCGCCGTGCAGTGGGCGTAACCTGAGCCTGAGAAGCTTTCTTGTCGCCAGCTTCCCACTCATCCTCATTCACTGGCACACTCTGGTAAAGATAGTGACAAATACAGTAATATCTAATATCTATCCTGTAATAAATGCTAGTAATGGGAGTAATATCCTATTCAATGATCACTTAAGCAGCAATAAGGGCTGTAATTAAACCTCTCAAGGAAATAAGTTTAATATTTAGATTAAGTTCCTGGAGGAGCTTTGAGTGTGATCTCCCTCTTAATTCTCTGCCATCGTGTGTGTTGCATGCTTGTGCTTTCCACTTGCTCTGAACAGGTAGCTCCGCACTCCCTTGTGCAGGGAAATGGGGATTTACTCAGATTTTTTCTGTAGCTGAAAAAGGAAGTGGCGTGCCGATGCAAAGTTCCCAGGTCACTCTCTTTTTATGGTCAAAGTGTAAATAGAAACTCCTAAAAATAATTGGTCTTTGCTTGGCTCTGCACTTAATCCCCTTCATATATGGTTGGTTTTTTTTTTTTTAAGCTGCGGTTCAGATTTGCTGAAAAGATGAATATATTTCATAATCTTTTTGTTCCCTGTCCTAGGATTCTTCCAACTAATTATTTTCTTAGTAACTGTACAGTGATAAGAAAGGGGGAATCCTAGTCTGGGACTCTGAAGATTACAGCTTTTAGATCTTCAAGACATCTGTAATTACTGCAGTTATTATTATGTTTATAACTTTATTAAATGTACAAGCTCAAAATTTTCAGGAAAGAAATACTAAGCGCAGAACAATAAATAAATTAGATAGCACTTAACCTCTGTAACAGTAAAAGATACATCCTCAATGTAAAAAAAGAAAAGAGAAAGGAGGAAAAAAACCAAAAAAGGAACTAGCAACCCATACCAAAGGTATCTTCGTAAGGCTTGCATTGCTGCTGTTTGGTTTCCCGTGGGTTCAGGCGGGAGCTCTGGGGCTCTGTTTCCTTCCCAAGAACCTGCCGGGATTAAGCACGAGGTGTGGAGGCCGCGCGGTGCCCTGCCCAGCGCGCGCTGGGTCTGTGCTCTCACCCCATAAAGGAGCTGTCAGGCTGCTGCTGGGGACCTCTGGTCTGACATAAACATTTTTGTGAGCCCTTTCTCAGCTCCAGACTGGCTGCCCTGTGCTCAGGCTTGGGCTGAGAGCGAGCTCAGCCGCTTGCAGGGAAGTCCACACATGGTGGATAACCTAGCCCAGGCCAGCAGGCGTGTGGGGGGGGTCTGCTGGGGGCACTGGGATGAATTCTTCCAGCGCTACGGCTGCTAATGGCCTGCTCAGCGATGCCTCCGCAGGGCTCAGCTGCTTGTTTCCGTGTGGATGTACCAGCCAAGGCCCGCGGACAGGCAAGGCTGGGCTCCTGCCTGTGTCAGGCTTTCACTGCGGTGAATTAGGGCTCTGCAGCCCAGCACCGTGCGGCGTGGGCACAAGGCACAAGCCTGCCTTCCAGCGTCGCCCACCTGACGCCCTCCTTTCTCCCCTAACCTGGCACAACTTCTCTGATGTTTGCTATAGAGCAAGGCTATTAATCTTTCTTGTGTTTGGATACTACTTGTGGGGTGTTTTGTAGGGTCTCTCCTTTATACGTCTCTTCCTTTTAATTACACTTCTAAGAACATAATATTTTTGGGATGCTTATGCTCTGTCAACTGCAGTTGAACTGAGACGGGGGATTCAGAAGATCCTGAGGTAGGAGGGAAATGGCAGACACATGCACTCTGTGACCAAACAAGTCTCATCTCTTAAGGAAATTGGGCTAAAGATAGCCTAGGGAGTTCACGTTTCCTTTATTACTCATGCCTTTTTAGGTATTCGGTCCTATTAACAATAGCGATCCTTGTCACTGCTTCCCCCAGAGACATCCTGAAGCTTTCAAACAGGTCTGGGAGGATCCCAGCGGCAAACGTTACCTTGTCCTCTCCTGTACTGGAGCATTCTGGCTCCTTTAGCATCATCAGAAAGTATGGCAACAAAAAAGTCAAACTTGGTACCTGAAATGGTAACATTAAAACTCCATGTTTCCACATGTTTTCCACACTTTAGGAGTTTTGTTTGTTAAAAAACATGCAACTGAAACATATTGTTTACTTTTCAAAAGGTGCTTTGGTTTCTATGTAACAAAAGCTGGTAAAGTATCATGTTTTATTATGACTTAAGCCATCCAAATGTTGATAAGATTACATAGAGTTATGGGGCCTTATTTTTATTTAAAATTCTGTTCTGTGGTCTTGTCTGTATAAATATTTGTGTGTGTAACTCTCAAAACATCTGTTTTTTAAAGAGGACTTGTCTGACAATGAGGAAATGTTCCCGAAAGAAATAACCAAATGGAGTTCCAATGATCTGATGGATAAAATTGAAACCCCTGAATGCGATGATGTCCAGGGTAATTTTTTTTTTAAGTAAAAACTGCATGTGATGTCTTACAGTAGTTCCAGGCAATTGTTACAGCCACATTCTGAAAAAGGTAAAACTTGTTATCCTTATCTCACAAAAGGAGAAGCTGAGACAGAGCATAAAAATGACTGCCCAGTGCTGCTGGAAAAGAATTGCCCAGTGGGAGTTGGGATAGCTCTTGATTCTCTTTTATTTTCTGTGTTGGTTAGGGTCCTTTGTGTGACAGCCAAGTTTTCTCGTATAATGATGAAATATTCCAGCTCCGTCTTGAATGACTTGAATTTCTCCTGACTCTTCTTTCCTCTTGCCTCCATCCTTTGTTCTTGTCTGTATCTGCCTCGGTTTTATTTTCTGCTCATCATTATGAAATTTTGAAAGGAAGCTGGCTCCTCAGCCAGATCGATTCGTGTGGCAGCACAGTGGAAGATGACACTTAAGCTTTCTGGTACAAAGTCGGTCTGTGTAGGCACAGACGTGTGAACGCATCAGATCTCTGCTCCCCCAGCATAGTTCATGCAATTCCTTTTATTCTCCCACAAACCAATCATTTCTGACAATTGTGCAGGGATTTCCCATTGTTGCCATCCTTAATAAAGCAACGATACTGGATCGTTGTAATGAGAGAAGAGCTCTCTAATGTCCTCAGCGCTTACCGAGGTTATGAGAAATTGCTGGAAAATAAGTGACCCAGCGTTGCCCAGGCTTCTCAGGTGGGAGGAGGCAGGAGGGAGGGAGAGGGCAATTTGATGAAATAATTAAGGAGACATGAGGCAGAAGAGGCTGAGAAGCATTGGCACAAGTGTCTTTACGGAAGAGAGGCT